CCAATCAATTAAAGATTATTTGAAGCCTGATCGTTTGAGCTACTTGGTAGGCATATATGGTTGACCCAATCACAATGTTTTGAGAAGTCAAGATACATGATGTCAACCTTCTCCTTGCGATCATGGATGGTTGTCCATCTGTCTACCGCAATGGGCACGTTAGACGTTCATGCTGTTGGAGTGAAAAGAAGTTCAAGGATAATAAATAATCGTGTATACCGTCTTATATCAGTGACTTCATGGTTTTTGAAGGTATGGAGAGAAGCGCTACCGGTTGGTAGCTTGAAAAATTGCTGCGTCGATCTCCTTTGAAAATTGGTGTGATGTGAGCCAGATTTCAAATTTCCGGTAGTTTGCCTCGGCTTAGTGAATGTGAGGAAATCACTGTGAGCGGTGTTGCCATCACTGAAGCAGCTTCCCTCACTATAGAAGAATGAACCATATCCGGGCCAAGGGAAGTATCTTTTCTTAAGTGTGTAGTTTCCAGCACACCTAGTCGGCACTGAGATTCACTTCCGAAATCCTTGTGGAATTGCAGATTGACTTTTGGAGGATTGAAGTCCCCTAGAATCAGGATGTGAGTGAATTCGAGATGAGTAGAGCGGAATAATCCTACCAACATACGATTGTCATACTCGATGTTAACAGTGTGTTTCTTGTAGATGAACCCTAATAGACACCTCGAAGTGGTAGTCAATTTTACTGAGTGCCAATTGGATCCATCGAGATTGATAAACTCTTGGTTGTGCATTTGATGCACCTCCAGGCAAGATAGTATTTATAAGGTTACCCCACACCTCATTCCTGTTTTTCTGTCACTGTGAAACAAAGACACCCCGGGCATTGTTAGCTCCCGGTCCATAAACTAAGAACCACTACATACCGTACGACCTTCAGTGTTCAGTCTTCAGTAATAAGTATAAGAGGTCTATCGACCTATATTAATCCTTGCAGTTTGTAATATTGTGGAGGTACAATCTCGTTTTCAATGTATTAAAAGAAGGCGCTGATATTACGTGTTATTTGCATCACTACACTCTTATTAGGATTTACTTCTAGTGACCACCTGTCCAACCATGCCACCAATTAGTAAAACTATCCTATCCGACATACTGTGTATAGGTCTCCAAATCTTTATGTCATCAGCGAAGAGTAGAACGGATGATTTTGCTATAGTCGGTAAATCATTTACATCAAGTAAAAAGAGAAGAAGACCTTGGGGATCTCCACTTTTTACAGACACCCACGAGGGGAGAGCCCCATTTACTCTTACTCTTTATCTCCTGTCATGGAGAAAGTTACTTACCCAATCTACGACTGTATAATGGATTCCAAAACGTTCCAGTTTGAATTTAAGACCAGGTTGGGAGACCTTATCGAAGCTCTTACTTAGATCTATAAAGATCAAATCTACAGGGATATTCCGATCTTTTGAAGCAGCCCAATCTTCTCGTGCAATGAGATTTGTCAACCATGATAGACCTCTCCGAAAACGATGTTCTTCCCTGGGGAAAAGATTATGCTCTTCAAAATATTTTATAACAGATATCCGAACGATTTTTTCCATCAGTTTTACAGCTGCATTAGTTAAGCTAACGGGCCTATAGTTACTAAGTCCTTACTCCCAGACTTATACACTGGACTTATTATAGCGTCTTTCCAGTTTCTGGTCAGTCTGGACTGCCTTAGAGACATGTCAAACAGTATCGCTAGTGGTTCAGCAATTACATCTGATAGGGCTTTCATAATCCTGGGATGAATATCAACAGGACCACTCGACTTATCTGGTTTGAGATGCTGAAGTAGCCTTAAAACAGTGCCCTTCCATCAACGAGCCGCCGCGACCACAATGAATCGTCGATCGTTCCTAATTACCGATTGAAGACACTTTACTGAAATTCTCCGATAAAGCTTCAGTTTTTTCGGTATCATTTTCTGCCAAGATTAACATATTTTTTTGTATAAAAAATGATGGAATTCCATCGCTTCTCCTAGTTCGCCTTTTTATATACGAGAATGACCGTTTCGGACTATATCTAGAATCCTTAACCAATTTTTTTTCGTATGAATGTCTAGTCTTGCTTATTCACGCTTTACAGGCATTCCTAATCTTACAATAACTGGATATGTATTGTTCTAAGCCAGTAGAGATGAACATATCCCAGTGATTCTTCCTTTTTCTAAGGAGTTTCCTGACCGTTTTAGTTATCCATGGTGGACTATTATTCGGTCTTCGCGGTACCAGGTATGGTATGAACGGGGACGTAACTAGTCTAAATTTACCTTTAAATACAGACCATGCTTCTTCAACTGATTTGCCAGTATCTACAAACCAATCTGTCTTAGCAGCGCATTCCTGAATAGCTGATATGTTAGCTTTCCATACATTTGGGCGAGGTGTAACCTGATCGTATAACATGTCCCTAGTTCTAAACGTGAATGACAAAACAGCGTGATCGCTGTTCACTAACAGTGGGAGAATATTTAAGTCGACAATATCCTCAGTCTCATGAGTGATTACCAAATCCAGCAGAGAAGAACCCTGGTTAACACCAAAACGTGTGGGTTTGTATACATGCTGCACTAGTGCATGCTCCATTATTGTTATCAGGAACCTACTATCAAAGGAGTTTATAGATCCTTCTGTGGTCATCTCGGTCCAACTAATATCAGGCTCATTAAAGTCTCCTATTATCAAACATCTAGTATTTGCACTCCAAAGATGAATGTATTCTAAAATAAAGTCATCAGCTAGGCTGATCGGGCTCCGATAGATGACATTGAGCATAAATGTACTACATCCGATAGCCAATTTACAGCCAATTACTTCACAAGTACCGCTATCACGAAATTCGCTAGCATATGAGAGGATATTTATATTATTGGCTTTATATAACAGGACACCACCTCCTTTTCTACAGCTATGTCTAACGCTCCTGAGGTAATGGTATCCGGATAATTCTGGAGTGATGTCTAAGTCATGGACTAACCAAGTTTCTGTCACTGCTACGATGAGTGGCATTAATCTGTCCGCTAATCCTTCTAGTTCATAGAACTTATTTTTTAGACTACGAGCGTTGGCATATAAAACTTCTAAGTAGAACGGCCTATTCACATAGGCCTTGGTAGCATTCGCTTCCAAGACCTGAGTATCCGAAAACCCACTAGTCGGAGATTTTCCCTACCGTTTTGCCGACGGGTTTCTAGTTCAGATAATGCTTTCTATCTTTTTATTCTATCTTCGTGAGACATGTCAGGTCTAACTCGGATGTCAGAATTGTCGTGACAACGAGCGCTACTTAACAAGAGATCCCGTTGCTTCTCCAATCCTAGGATTACCTTAAGGAGACTGCATGGACGAGGTTCAACATTATCCTCGGTCCTCTTGCCTATTCTAACCAATTTTTCGACCTAAACTCCTTTGGAGTTATCTGGCAAAATACTACGAATGTATTTTCCTAGCTTCTCTAAGTCATTCGCTTGTCTAATTTTCGGATCAGGTTCGTTTGACTCCCGCAATTTGCTCACAATAATATTCGATGTTGTTAGATTTTTCTTCTCAGTCACGCCAGGATGGGTTTCACTCTTACCTTCAGATTTTGGTAGTGCATTTTGTGACCCAGTGACTTGCTAACCACCTGCGTACTACCTACAGATTTTTTCTTTTCATTTCGTTTACTCCGTACTGTAGTCCATTTTTCATCCCTCAGGACACTGGGAATATTTGTAGCGGTGACGGTTTTATCCAGATCTTCAGTTTCCACTAGAGGTGTATGGTTATCATTGTCAGTGTCAGGTGGTACTACCCGCTCGTTATTATTAATGGAGATTTCACTTTTTCGTCAGTTAAAGTCAGTTATTTAAGGCATCTCGCAACAGTATGTACTACACTGACACATTCGTCACTGTCAGTGATCGTGTTATCAGCGCATGCGCCATCTTTCTTTTTACAGACCAAAGCCAATAGGCTCATAGCCTCCTGTATTAGGAACATCTAATTTGCACAGCAAAATATCCAAAGCCAATGTGAGGTAGGCTTCGAACAACTTTTTTATGCGGTGGGGCTTTAACGAGTGCACATCTTATGGGACCACTTATTGAATTCATCACACTGCATTCCCTCCTCCACAGGGAACAAACAGTTTGGTTGTCCACATTTGTGAGTACTACCAACCATTTTAGTCAGATCAAGGTGTGACACACAATATGATCACAGTATGAACACAAGTGTCAGTCAACGAATAAAGGGTTACCACAAGACAAACTCTAGAAAGATTTTAAACCTTAACTAAAGTACTTTGATTTAGACTAAGAATGCTTTTGATGCAATAATTATACAAAAGCAATGATAATCACAACAAAAACAAAATCACTGCCCTTTTTGAAACACCGACGACAAACTAATTTAGAAACAGAAACGATACCCCAAGGTTCCGTCCTAGGTCCTTTACTTTTTATAATGTACGTTAATGATCTTACAAGTATAGTATAGTCTCCAATGTTATTATACGCTGACGATGTAAAAATTTGGCGAGCAATAACTGGAGACAAAGACGCATTTACTCTTCAGGCAGACTTAAATAATATGATGAACTGGTCTAAAGAGTGGCTGATGCCTATCAACGCGGAAAAGTGTTTCCTCATGCACTTGGGGGATTCAATGCTTAATACGTAAAACATAGAGGATGTGTCATTACCAGTAGGCCGGTCTCATAAGGATCTAGGGGTGACAGTGAGAAACAATAGAATTTACTCAGCGAGGAAAAATACAAATGTCTTTTTAATTAGCGCGCTCGTCTGGAAGGTTTGAGATGCTGAAGTAGCCTTAAAGCAGTACCTTTCTCATGGACCTCAAATATATCTGGCTACAAAAGGCATCCGAGTGATGAACAGCGAGTAAAATAGTTTGCGCTTTACATTTGATGTCCCGCGAACTGATTATAAATTTGTCTAAACCTTTGGTTTTGTATCATGCAATATGCCATAATTGTACTTTGACTGATCTGATGTCACGCCGGCGCGTAGCGGGTTAGCGTTTGTTCATGGCCACCGAGCACCCAACCAAGGGACAATTTAGTATAACGAATACAGTAAGCAAATTTAGTATTTTTTCCGTATTGCTTTACTGTATTTACAGGAAAAATTAGTAAATTTAAGTCATGATCACGATCAATCTACAACCAATTCTCACCTGAAACTAAATGGTTGCCTCGTTAATAAGGACAACCCATGGGTTCGAGGTATGTCTCACATATTTCTGTTTAACTGTGTGTCAGCCCCATGTTCATCTGGTGATGGTTCTGACTCGACTACATCTCATGATGGTGTTTGTAGCAAAGATCGAGATTGGCCAACTCTTCAAAGTGCTCTATCACAAGTCTCACAATGCACCACTAGTACTTTCGATGTATGCTCTAAACAAAAAGATAAAAATAAACAAAAGGTGAGTTACTTCTGCTAGGTTCACTTTTAGTTCACTGCGGTTGGTTCTTGTCAGATAGATTTGGGCACCAAACCCATTACAAATCATCAAAAGAAGAAATGGGAACAAGCCACTGTTGAGTACATTTTCCCGAAACCTAATAGCACTGATGGATTTGTCGGTTATCGGTCAGATTCGCATCGGTGGAACCGGTCAGGTGAACACGATAAGGAAAATTATCATAACGGGAAATCAAAGATTGGATCTAATAGTTCTGTCGATAAGGAGAGCTTAAACCCAAGCCAAAATAATCTTGTTCACTCGGGAACAAGACCTCGTCCGTTCGTTCGCCATATGCGGTTCTCAAAATCTGGTCGCCCTCAAGTAAGTTTTCCTAATAGTTTTCAAACCTTACGAATGCACTACTAGTGTAGCAAAGTAAGTCATTTTTCCTTTGATATTATTTCATTCCCTTAAGTCCAGCCGTTCAGTCATTTCCTTTTCCTTCGTGGTATTAACAAGTCGTTTAAAATAGCTACTTTGACTTAAGTAGTCTCGGAACGCAGTGAAGCATAGGTCGCCCATCAGAATTCCCCCATCGAACTCTCCAGTTGTTTCCGGTTGCGACTCATTCTTTTGATTGCTTCCGATTCTCGACGCAATGTTCGTTAGTCTTCATCTCTTCTGTTTCCCTTCAGATTTCCAAGTTAGCGCTTGCCTCATGACAGTTTGGTGATTTCCGTAGTGTATGTTCTATCCGCCTCCAGTATCTTCCAGATTTTTCATCTGGAAGCTGGTTTGTTCTCCTACAGTATGTTGTTGCTGATGGTATCCGGTCGACGGATCCGAAGTATCTTGTGTAGACAACTGTTTGTAAATACCTGTACATTTTTGGTTGTGGTAGTTCCCCAAGTTTCAGCTCGATTGGAACGCTATGGTATTTTGTCCGAAACAAAATGTAATTAATGATACCCCTTTGAAAGTGTCTAAGGAACAGGCGATATGCATTAAAGTAGGTGGTGCTTCAAATCCATTCATCCTTTGCCCTACATACTTCACAAATCAAGCTGTCCACATAAGTTCCTGTTTTAGATTTTCGCTTTTGAATCATATGCTGTATACTTTTTCCCGTTACCGTTGGTACTGATAATTTTGGAAATTTCTTTATTCAAGTTAAGGCAATTTAAAGGACTTCGTCTTTAGTCTGTCTAAGCTTAAAACTAAATTAAACTATGGTAATTTATACGCAGTTTGCAATCCATTTTAATTATACCAGTCCTTAAAACATCTAATGACCTACTCAGCTAGGATGTCATAGTCTTATTATAGTAATATGATTGTGTTTAATCTGCCTCTATCGCAAACCCAGTAGTCCTTATGAACGTAAAGCGGTAGTAATTGTGTAATAGATATTAGATATTAAAGGCAATCATATTCAGAATTTAACTTTCTAAACTGCTCTCCTAATTGTAGCGCCGACAGCAGACATCTGGCACCCCTGTAACAGCAGCAAACCGTGGCATACCTGGCCCGAAAAATCCAGAACAAATCTACTCTCCAACCAATTTATGGGTTCCAAGTGACATCAGTCAGGCTGCAAACTTGGGTCGCATGACAACTCATGGTCGTTCGGCTCCGGGGAAGCTTAACAACGTGCCTCACCTGATTCCTATTCCACTCTATGGGTCAGTACCCCAGACTTCTCCCTTATCGCCTTCATTTCGTAAGTCGAGTAGTTTTCCTATCAATTCATCCGCTGTCACCCATTTAGTTTTCATGTGATTGTCTAGGCTTCACAACTGTTGAAGTAATTGTCCTTCCGACTGTTGCATACTAATCTTCATTTGACTCATCACTTCCATGCTTTGTCACGATATTACTGTATTGTTCTACCCGTTCAGACACTTGGTTTAATACATCTTGATCGTGATTATTGACACTGTCTTCTGTCTGTTGGTACTACTACAAAAGTGATTTCTGACAAACAACAAAACATTGCTTGTTGTAAGGTGTTCTGACCAAGTTATTGGCTCTTGTCTACTGGAGTAATCTAGATTCTCCTCTGTCCAGGAGTACTGTATGAAGTAGCCGGTCAGGCTGTAAACAAGGTTACTCGAAATCCCATAAAAGTTATGAAGGCAGTTGACGCTTCCTAATTGCTCACATCGTTAAAAGATATTTCCTGAAGGAGCTGTTAACGCATTTAGTTTGGGTGTGGTCCTCTGATATGGACCTATCTTTTCTAGTCCTCTCCCGTTATGAAAAAGCAATACCACTGGAGGTGCTGGTTACCTTGGAGGAACATCATACCGCAGTCAAACATCGGTTCAATCGGTAGTACGTCTGTTGCTTTTAGCCTAATCGCCTCTCAACTGACTTGTTCGCAATAAGAAAACAGGAGGTTGAGATATTTAAAGCAATTAGTCCCTTTGACAAATTTCGATGATGTAATACGAAGACGAAGTTTTTCAGAACTATGTGATATATTAGCGCAATACCTTTCGAACAAACTGATCACACATACTTGTTAAGCACATTTATATATAAAAAATGATAGGTCAAATGGACTGAAAATAGAAGTAAGAGGAGACAAAGATAATAATGTGAACACAATTTGAAACCTGATCACTCTGGATAATAGTTTGGACTAAGTCTGGCGGTTCCGATCTAGACATATGGTCAGTTTACAAAGTCTGGTTGTTTCAACTATTTAGGAGACTGTACGGTCTAACATCCATAATAGACAACAAAGGTCCTTAGGCGATTCGGCTTTTGATCGATCAGTCACGCATAAGCGCTGGTAAAAATAAGCACCAAAAATGAATAAATTTGTGGAGATGTAGATAACGGAAAGTAGACGCAAAAGGAAACTAATGAAAGAAATTGTATTGAACGATGGTATTATGCGATAGTAAAGACAGTTCGATTTTGAAAAATAAAAAGGTATTCTTTCAATCCAAGGAATTCCTACCACTTGTGAAGAATGTGAAGAAAATCACACCACTAGTTTTTATTGTGAACCATATCTGACAACTTCCCAAGTTATTGAGTTGCACCATATCAGACACCGACCAGATAATTGTGATAAAATGACAGGTGCCAGTCCTATAAAGTTTTCATACCCCGCTGCCATCACAAACTGACTACCTATCAGCTTATTCTACCCTATCCGAGCGTTGGCAAACAATGGATGGTGTGAACGCCTCTAGGACAGTATACGTAACATATGTTCAAGCCACCGAACACTATACTTCAAGATAGTTATAAAAATTCAGTTATCGTTACGTGCCTAGGCATACACAGTCAGACCTCAACATCACTAACATAGTGTTGCCACTGAATGTCAACAATCCTTCGGAGACAACGATGACCGAACACAGAAAGTCACTGAAAATCTTCAGCACGGAGAAACCAGGTTTCATAGGCGCAAAACAAAACTACTCTCACCAACGCGTTGTAAACTCGACCTTTTACACCCAAATTGGCATAATGTCACAATGGTGCCAAAAATGACTCAGACTGACATGAACCGCTCTGGTTTTCACTGTATATAGACTGACCTCGTCTTTTACGCTACGACCACCACTCATACAGCCACTAAAACACAAACTTTTCGACTATTTCTGATGGCTCGCCGTGAACAGTGGGTGTAAACATACACTCTTGTTAGTCTCGTCGAAGCACTTTGCATTTGGAATATACGAAGTATATACAATGTCTTCAGATATTGATTACCAACTCATTAAATGCGATTTGCATAACTTGAGTGTCATCTCACAGTAAGACAATATCTGCTCACCCATGATCAAAAAGTCTTTCCGGATGACGAGTCTATACAGTAACTACCTTCTCCCATCAGAGATGTTCTCAAAATGTCAGTGAAGGCAAAGTTGAAAAGCAATAGTGAGATTGTCCAACGCTACCAAACCCTACGCAACGTTGGGCCTGGTTGGTGTGTATATGTTTTCAATTCGCCATGTCCATCAACACAGCGAGACAAAATTGTGAAGGGAAACCCCTAAGTAGTAGTGGGAGTAACAGTATTAACGGTAATAGAAAATATTGAGTCTCGAGGGTACATTTCGGGAAGAAAATATAGATTGGTGAAGTAAACAAAGATTTATAAGAAATGTATAAACCCAGGATTTAATGAGTGTGATCTTGAGTGCTGTTAGAGGTATGAGAGCAATTATCTCCCCGGTTGCCTGTCCACACCATGGTAAAGTTCTGGATATTCATGAAAAGGAATTTGGGTTAGGAGTGGTCCTAGTGACCTGGAAGAGTGATCGCATTGCTCAAGGAACAACTTCTTGAGGTCGGTCACACACGACCTTCCTGTGAGTAATTTTTGTGTTATCTTCGTACTTATTGGAACCTTATCACTGGAGACAAAAATCCGTGCGATATGGTGAGAAGTGCATTTTTAGGGTCAATCTTTTCCACCCCGCCCTTCCTTTGTGGGAAGAAGGCATCGTTGTTACGCTGGTTGTCTGAAGGAAACACCTTACTGTCGTCACACCCCTGTACAGTCAGCAGTGCGACTTCGCCCTTGGATCTTTGATATGCTGCTTTTATTCTTACCGCTTTTCAGCCGATCTGTCTGACATATCAGGACCTTGAAGAACGATTTTTCCCCTAGGATAGCTTGATTGGTTCATCACAATAGGCAAGCCCGACCACCACGTTGAGGTTGCAGCAACGGTCGGGAGGAAGAGCAAGAATGAATACAAGTGTGCTCTGGAGAACGATGATTCTCCATCTCACTCATAGTCTTGGAATCACTGGTTTTGATAATCACGAGAACTGTAACTATCTCCATGACTCAGACCAGTAGTTAATAACTCCGAGGGTTAATGCCATATCTTGTTTTAAGACTTATTTCCGTGGTTTTGAGTTGTACGGACAGTGCTTCGAAGACACATATGGTCGAATATTAGAAACCTCCGATTATCCTCTATTATTAAATATGATGTTTCACACATGAAAAAAATAAAGTGAACTACCACTCAATGTACTTGTCTTTTAGGTAACAAACAGATATATTTTTGCCTTAAGTGACAATAGTTAACTAAAGCTAATCGGTTTTTCCCGATCAGAATCAAAAGTTCGCCAGACACCAACCCACCAGAATTTATAAGATGAGTCCTATACTTAACTCAGGCGTTGGGGGAGAGTGATTCTGAAACGGTAGTTTGCATTCAGATGGAGAAACACGCATCCTAAACATGCCACAACCATAGTTGGAGGACGGCATGTCTGTCTGTGTCCCAAAACCTGATAAAATGTTTGTTCTGCACATCCACGTCCAGGTCTGAAAAGCCTAGTTTTCCTATGCTTTCTCTCTACAAGCCTTAGTTAAGCTATGTGGTTACTACAAGAGGATTTATGTCCCCATAGACTGGAACGATCCGTGATCGAACTTAGTCTAGTTCCCAGACTAGCTGAGACATCAGTCAACCTGAAAATTCGCGATGTAGAAGCATCAAACCTGCTGCTATCCTTTACCTTAGATCGGTTATGGCGTTTCCTACTTCTTTCAGAGTTAGGAAACTTAGGCTGATATCCCTTTCAGAGTGCTTGGTAAAAGTAGGTAATTTACAGATAGTCAGAAAGCAGTCATCTACTTTTGCAACTTCAAGTGGTGTCCGTCAAGGCTGTCCACTTTCTCCATTTTTGTTTAACTTCATCATTGACCTATTGATGGAAATAACACTCTCGTCGACTGAATTCTCGGGTATTGATCTCCTTCCAGGAGGTCCACTTATCGACTTAGAATACGCAGATGACATAGTCCTGTTTGGTGAAGACGCTAACAAAATGCAGAGTCTTCTGGTAGCACTAAGCAACAATGCCAGAATGTTTGGGATGCGCTTCTCTCCCTCTAAATGCAAGTTGTTGCTTCAGGACTGGTCTGCATCAACACCTAAACTAAGGATAGGGAGTGAAGTAGTCGAACGCGTTGACAACTTCACTTATCTTGGAAGTCTGATCAGCCCTAATGGGTTGGTGTCTGACGAAATCTCAGCACGGATTCGAAAAGCTCGCTTGGCTTTTGCCAACTTACGTCACCTTTGGCGAAGGCGAGATATCCGTCTATCAATAAAAGGACGAGTATACTGCGCGGCAGTCCGTTCTGTCTTACTTTACGGCAGCGAAACATGGCCTTTAAGAGTAGAAGACACCCGTAAGCTATTAGTATTTGACCACAGATGCCTTAGAAATATTGCTGGCGTCTGCTGGGATCACCGGGTAAGTAATAGTGAGGTTAGACGCAGGGTATTAGGTAACGATGGTAAATCAGTTGATGAGGTTGTGAATCTTCATCGACTGAGATGGTTGGGCCACGTATTACGTATGCCTGAACACCGATTACCACGACGTGCAATGCTAACCGGTGTAGGGGATGGTTGGAAAAAAGTTAGGGGCGGCCAAACCAAAACGTGGCATCAGTGCTTGAAGTCACTAACTTCTAGTCTTAGCCATGTTGGTAGATGCAGACTACTTGGTTGGGGTCCGCGTGACTTTCGTAACCAATGGTTGGAGACTCTTGGTGACATGGCTCAGAATCGATCACAATGGCGTCGGTGTATACACTCCCTGTCTTCCCTTAAACTAAGAGATTAAAATCACTTCATATCTTTCTTTCTACGAACTAATTCTTCCTTCCTATACTATATCCTTATTGCAACCTTTGACCTAACCACTCCTATGAATCCGGTGTTCATCTTGTTGTGCTAATGAGGTATGGCAACCTGGACCGATGCACATATGTGCCTGGTCCTACGTTGTAGCTGACTGACTGACTGAGAAAGCAGTTTGATTATTCTTCAGTGTCCTACCCATCGCTTCAGTCTCTTAGTTCGATTACGGACCACTGTAAAATTTGGTTGAGGATGAAGATATGATCAGTATATTCATGATTAGAATAAAGATTCGCTTGCTCTCCACCAGTTAGTCTTTAGTGGATTTAAATAATCTGTCAATTATCACAAAGCGCTAGTTTGGACGCAGTCAAAAGTAGATTTATCCTCCTGTAATCGTTGAGTCGGCAACGTAAACTCTGTTTTTAAAGATGAGGATAACTGTAGCTCCCTTCCAGGATGTTTGAACACTAATTACCAAACAACCCAGTCAGTTGTTTGCCCAGAAGTTTCCAAACATCCATAAAATATCCCGAGAGTAAGTAATCTAGAACTGGCGATTTGCAGCTTTTCAGGAATTGCAGCCTCTTGTGAACTCCCTGTTCACCAAGTAAATCAGTCGTCACCGGCCGTAAACGGTAGTCTGATTGATGTTGCTATGGTAGTAGATAAGCTGAACTGTTCATCGTTCAAAACTTCGGTGGATGCTATTGATTTCCTTGCTATCAACTTCACAAATTATTTCACTCACAACAGGCTTTTTGCTGCCAGTAGTTTTGATGAGTTAGGAGAGTTTCCGACGGTCATCAGATTCAGCTGCTGCTTTCAACTCATCAACACACTACGACCACCAGGTTTCTCTGACCTTACGCATACTTTTCAATATTGTTCGTAAGAATTCCCGTTTATCGTGAAACTGGCGGTTGGGCGGAGTAAATTGATATGCCTCGAGAAGTCGTGAGGAGCCTGTAGAGACCCGGTGCTTACGTGTAGGTCATTTCACAAAGCCACAAGCAAATTCACTCACCATTTTCATGATGAAAATGCAGTCAGTGCTCATTCATACTTTTCGTTGGGTTGATAGCTGAACTAAAATTGCATAATCAACTTCCACCCCTACTGTTATACCTTGAGATGACGCTAATAGGCAAATAATTTATCTGAATCTACTTCTCGAAAAATAGGTTCTCCTTATAGGATTCAGCTGTACAATTACTGATAGGCGGATATCTTGCTTCGCCATAGGCGAATTAAACTGGCAAAATCCAAACGAGATTTTTGAATCCGTTCTGTGATTTCGTCAGACAACAACCCATTGGGGTTGATCAGACTTCCAAGATAACTGAGGTTGTCGACGCATTCCATTACTTCACTCCCTATCCTTAGTTCAGCTATTGACGCAGGCCAGTCCTGAAGCACCAGTTTGCATTTATTTCGAGAGAAACGCATCCCAAAAATCCTGGCATTGTTGCAACGTCATCACCAAACAGGACTGTTATCTACGTATTCTAGGTCGATAAGTGGGTTTCCTGGTATTAGATCAATCCCCGAAAATCCAGTCGACGAAGCCGTTATTCCCATCAGTGTGTCTATGATGAAGTTGAACAATCATGGAGACAGTGGTCAGCCTTGTGGGATGCCACTTGAGGTTGCAAAATCAGATAACAGTTCGCCATATGCTCTGACCCGACTAGTAGTGTTCGAGTAAAGAGTCTTCACAAGTTTTCTGTACTTCTGTGGTGTAGTACGCCTCTCAATGACAGACACTGCAACATAACCTCTCGATCTACAGAGTGAAATGCTGCTTTTAAGTCGAGAAAGACCACGATCGTTGGACGCCGATAAGTGTGTATGTGTTGTAGAAGCCGACGAATGGTGAATATGTGGTCGATAGAGTTACGACCAACTCTGAAACCAGCCTGATTTTCTCGTATTTGCATTTGACAAGTATTTTTTAGGCGTGTGATAATTATTGAAGCTATTATTTTAGATGCTATATTAGTTAAACCAATCCCTCTATTTTTATCACAGAATGATTTTGATCCGTTCTTGGTGGTAGGTCTCATCCTCAATTGGATTCGGACTACAATCAATCGATGCGTAGGCGATGGCGAAAGGATATCGTTTCTCACACCGATTTCTCACTTTGATGAAGCCTTTTCATCTGAAAGCACGTAGTCGACAGTTATTGCGGGCCTAATCAGTTAGTGCTGTCTCAGCTCTTGTGCTTAGTAAAACACCAATGGCATCCAAATCGGACAAAAATCCCTTTGTTAACGCTCTTGAAACTGGCAGTCTGAATCGACTGGTAATGATCAGTGAATATATCGGCTCTTTTTTATTTTCTGGATCATGCACATGCTGTTCTATACTCTTGTCTTAAGTTTACTCATTTCCTCGCAATGCTTAACCACAACTACTGCTTGTTTTCCATCTAGCTTTTTCTTATAAAATGTTAGTCTGTTAGTGTTGTTCCAGACCTTACATTTCTGTTTTCTAGTTGTTATTCGTTACTCCATAGTAATACAAGCGTTGAGAGCAAAAATTTATATCTTGAAGTATACTTGTATACGATTTCTTTCTAGTTTCAGCTGTTGGATATCCCCTCTTGATGATATATCCGACGGGACCTTTATCAGCACCAGCGACATCAGCAGTTTCTGATCCTGTTTACGATTATTCGGTTACCTGTCAAACATCACATTCATCATCAGTTGGTGTTTCAAGTGTATCACAACAACGGTCAACTGATTTATCAGAATCTAACCGTATAGAACCTCAAGTTTTCAGTCCACCTTTAGATACTGATTTAAACAATGTTTTCTCTTCTTTATTTCCGGGAACAGCCATCGCCCAACCTGCTAGTTTGTGTTTCCTTGCGTCGTCGAGTAGTGATCCTACGATTTTAATACGCCATCAAATATTACATCAAGTCGAATTTTACTTTAGTCCAGATAACTTAGCCAAAGATGTGTATCTTCGTCGGCAAATGGATTCTGATGGATGGGTTGATGTCAATGTAATTGCCAAGTTTAATCGTGTGGCCTCATTATGTACAGATCTTAATGATATTTTGGAGGTATGTACTCAGTTTTCTTGTTTTTAATTAGGTTGGTCAAAAATTTACCACTTAATCTATTAAATTTCATCACTATCCTTTAGTACCTTCCTATTCATAATTTAGTGAATGCTAAATTTTGGAGTCAAACTGTTCCTAATCTTTCTAATTCAATGCAGAAAATCATTTTAAAGAGGAATGATCACTGTAGCTGTGACTTATCTTTCTGATTAGATTCTCAAAGTGAATTACATTGGTTTTCGTATTTTATCTCTCTTCCAATGTTTCAGAATGGTACAGATAGTTGCATCCCTATACACGTTCATCAAGTTAGGCAATATTTATAGCAGAACTGAAGTACTCCTGATCTGTATTACGTGTTTCGGATCCGTAAAAAATAATATACTGTAAACACAGCAAACTTAGTAATCAATCAGAAGTATATATTATTGGCTTTGAGTTCGGTTTCGATACCTACCCACTCTAACAGTAGCAAGCAGCGAAGCGTCCACAGTTCGACTAAGTAGACCTCCCAAATTTATTCGAAACACAAGATAATATAAATAATAGTGTTATACATAGAAACATTACTGTTTGATCATCTGCGTCTCATTCTTTAAGATTAAAAATCAATAGTCACCTCAGTAGTTTGAAACCACAACAGTCAGTCATACCCAATATAAAACATGGCGTACATGTATGTCGTTCAAGTTGCCGTACCTCATTAGCATACCGAAATAAAATTTTCAGGACAAATATAAGAGTAGTAGAGTCAGTAACAGTATTAAGAGTAATAGAAAAAAGTAGGAATTAAAAATACAGTTCAAGGAGAAAATATAAAACGCCATCAAAAAATTACAGCAGTATCATTGCTTTGAATATAAGTAGCTTTTTATTGATAGCAATTTATGATATTTGTTATAATTGAATTCCGTTTCCCTCTCAAAATTAGGCAATTAGAGTTAGTCCATTATTAGATGTGGATGTCCCTAAAGCTCGTGTCCGATGCAAAAACAATCCATCGATTTGGCCCCTTCCTCTTGTTTCGAATGAAAAACTTCGAATCAGTTCTAGGAACAAAACAGTTCTTAACCCAGATGCTCCCGAATTCATCCCATCACAATCGATCGCAAACACAGATCAAACAGGTAAGAATGGACAAAATAATTTGTTCTTTACTTTCAGAAAACCTGTCTTCAAGGTTTAAATTATATTGTTTAAACGACTCTATAAATTTACTGCTTAAAATTTGTAGATTCACTTATCATCTTCTAGACCCCCAAATGCCCTGGTATGGCCGAGAGTGGGGTGGGCTCGCTCTCCCTCTCAAAATGCTCTCACACGGCCACGCGTATACAGTCTCTGCCAGGGAAGTCCTACTCACTGCCTTCTCGTGTCGGGGATGTTTACGAAAATGAGAGGACGAAAAGCGAATGTCTGGCGCTTTAACCGGATCCCAAACCAATGGTGCACATGGGCTCCAGTATACTGAAGGTACAAATAGCGTATGAACCAATCGTTGGTCACCGGCTACTATGAGAATGCATCTCCTCACGATGCTCCCTTGTCTTGTGGGTCAGACCTTTAGGTCAAAGGCTCGGGGTGTGGACCCCTAAGAAAACCACCTGCTTTAGTCTGGGCACCCGGGCAGCATCACAGCCCACACATACAAATATGGTGTGGCGCATATATATTTGGTGCCCTCTTGTACCAATATTTGTGTTGAAATACATAAATAAATAGACCTTAAGCACTGTGATAACGTTCTCGGGTCGATAAAACCACCACTAATACAGTTTGTTTAGGCCCTCAAAGAATAAACATTTCCACTGAATTAGTGAGAAAAGCGATAACTGCTGTCACATAGCATGTGAGGTCAATTCGTTTATATTTAGACCCCATCTTCACCAAATATTTCTTATACTCCAAACCTTCTTTCTTCTACTTCTACATGTACCATCAATGCTAACAATTCAAGTTCACAAAATGCCATCCCAGGCCTCTTGAAACCGCGCTTCAACCTACGTGTTAGAGCTTTCAATATCCAAACCCATTGTCAAGTCGAACAACAGACGCGACTAACTACAACTGTAGAATCTTGTTTCACGAATACCTACTGTGTCTCCGTAACACTCGTACAACATTCTAACATAATCATTCACCCGTACTCACGTAGCCGGTATGGAGAACTGACGTGGCGTATTCTGCGTATGTCTGAAGAATCGACATCAACTTCTTGTGATCTTACCGGTTTAGGTAAAGCACTAAATCTGAGAGCTAAGCAAACACGACTAGACTTTTACCAACTGTCCGTCTAAAGCTGCAGTAATAAATCTGAAATTTGGGAACACACTGTTGCTTCATAATTTCTACCCATGTCTAATTAACCGTAAATGCAGAGGTTAGGAAAGACCAGTGGATTTCGTTGGCATTGATTAAGTTGACAACTAATCACACTAATGCAAAACTTTGTATTTCTGCGAAGAACACTCAGCTTTGGGATCAGTCTGATCTATGATATTTATAAATGTCGCATCCTACTTGTGTACGTACAAGTACTGATTGAAAAACCAGTATGTGGGTAGTACGAAAACTCCCTCCGACCGTTGCTGCTACCTTGACGTGGTGGTTGGGCTTGCCTATCGTGATGAAGCAACCGAGCTATACTGGCTGGAACAACTGTTCCTCAAGGTCCTACCACGTCAGACAGGTCGGTTGATGAGCGGTAAGACTAAAAGCAATAAACCCAAGGTCCGAAGGCGAAGTCGTACTGCTGACTGTACAGAGGTGTGAAGGCAGTAAGGTGTTTCCTTCAGACAACCAGCATGACAGCGATGCTGCCTTCCCACAAGGAGGGGTGGGGTTAGAAAAGGTCGACCCTAAAAATGCACACCTCACCTTATCCCACGGATATCCGTCTCTGGCGTTAAGGTTCCAAAAAGTACGGAGCCAACACAAAAATTACCCATAAAAAGATCGTGTGTGATCGACCCCAAGCAGTTGTCTCTTGAGCATTGCGGTCACGCTCTCAGGTCACTAAGACTACCTCTTATCTAATATCCTTTTCAGATACCTCCAGAACAACCCTTCTACGGTTTGGGCAACCGGAAAGTGATTACCGCCCTCATACCTCTAACAGCACTCAAGACCACTGTATTCATAAGGATAAAGATCCTATTGCAACAACCACTGACAAATTTTAGGTTTAATAATCTTCCCATGTTCGTGAAAAACAAACCCAAGTAAAGCAAGCTGGTTTTAGATTTAGACGTAATTTTTTTGACTTGATATTCACTCTTCATTAAGTTTTAGAACATGAACTTACTAACCGACGCCGCACCACAGTGACATTTCTTAAGATTTAAGCATATTTTGATTCTGTTGACCGATAAGTTCTGTAAAATGTTTTTATTGAAAAAAGATATCTAAATATGTAAACCTTGTGAAGGTCTTGTACTCAAACATTTGGTTGAACCACAGCCTATTACTGCGCTGACCACGTCACTTAAAAGTCTCATCACCCGGATAGGTTAATGTCTGACAGAATCTCTACACGAATTCAAAAACTCAGTTAGCCTTTGATAACTTGTGTTTTTTAGTCAAGAAATATTTGCTAGTCAATCAGCGTGTAGGCTGTGCAACAAGCCTCTGTTCATGTATACCTTTCCATTGTCTTATTAGGTCATATTGCCAAGTTTTCTTTCATTTTGTCGCTGCTACTGTATTATTTCGGCCTTTTGTTAATATTGTCTAATCTTGCTAATGTGGTTTAGCACATCTATTCCAGGCTGTATATTAATGATTATCTGTTCTGGTGTTTAGAATAAACCTAGTCATTCCCCTCTCTTTTACTAACCACTTCAATAAGCGACAGTTTATCATTAGTTTTAAAGTAAAAACAAAACGTAAACTTCGAAAGAAATTCACTTTCTTCTTAAAAGTTGGACATTCAGACACTGGATTTTTGTTAGAAATTCTTAGCGTAAAAAGCTTTGCTTCCATTATGGGCTAATTCAGATGTAAGTTTTCATAGCGGCTGAAAATACCTTAGTATGCCATATACATTAAAAGGGATGTAATTCTTTCGATCCTTGATATAATATTAATAGCTTTATTCAACATCCTATGTTTAGTATGACATGGGATATGCTTCAGTGTCAGTGTGTTTCCTATTTATCGGTAGTTCGTTTTCATTTAAAAAAGTTTGTCGTCCAAATAAGTATCATCTATGAACTTTTGTTCTGGCTGATTTTCCGTCTTTGTTTGAAAATTTGGTCTGTCCGATTTCATTCCAAATAGTTACGAGATAGTATAATGTGACTCTCATCGAGTACATGTTTACATACCTGGCTTCCCAAGCCAAAGCAGGTACAGCGGACTACGAATCTAAGACCCTGATCAAGAACTGAATACTAAACCATTTGTATTCGGGCAAGTTTTACTTGAGATGGTTTTACTGTTTCTCAAGTTATTCCGACCATAATGATATTTGCATGGTTGTACAGTGAGCTTCCAAACATTTTCCTCTGCTTAGTTAGCTAGTGAAATAAACAATTTGAATATTCATTAAGTATGAGGAAAATGAGGCAGTATGGCTGATGTCAAGTCATTTTCCTAATAAAGACCTCCAGCATTACATTCAGATTTCAAAATAGTTATGTTTCACCAAATTCCAACAAGATAAACTTGCGTAAAATTAAGTTCTGATGGTGATAAAATCAATGGTATTACTCGTGTACAACTATTCTTTCCGTAAAAATAATCAATATTTAGTCAGACAAGATTTTTGTCATCTTGCCAACTCACCTGTAACACTCATTGAGTATGTGCTATTTATTTAAATTCTATGCATAGAATCATCCCTCGAACCTATAACAAAGTCAGGTGCTACTCCCATCACATCAACACAAGAAGATTTGAACTTTTCCTTTTCAAATGAATTACGTTCTGTCTACAGTAATCTACCGCCGCATTCTTCAGCATCGAAACGCACCCGATCAAGTTTTTCCGAATGTGATAAGTACTCTTCTATTTATCATGTAAGTTTCAAACCAAAATATCAGTTATATATAATTATTTCATATCTTAAACATCTTTGAAGTTTCACTCTACCTTTTGTCTATTGTATTATACCAGTATTTCAGTTTCTTGACAGCAACTTAATTCCTAATCACACTCATCGTATTAATGCGTGTAAGTATTCATTGTATTTCTGAGTTATGTCTTCCTAACTGACTGTCAAGTATAGGTGTCCAAACCAAATTGCAGAGGTTCGGCATCGTGTGTTCGGGCACAGAGATGATAATTCAATTAGTGTTACCATCTTGAAACACCGACTTCGGTGGCTTGGACATGTTCTCCGAATGTCGTCCCAGAGAATTCCACGTCGTGCATTATTTGTCGACTCTGGGACTGGTTGGAAGAAGCGGAGAGGTGGTCAGTGCATGACATGGTGTCGTGGCATGAAAGAAAGCTGCAAAGGACTGGCTTGTGTTGGTCCTTCACGACTCCCTGGTTGGGGTCTGAGAGATGGTGCTACACAGTGGCTAGAGACGTTATCAGATATGGCTCAGAATAGAAGCCAGTGGCGATCCTGCTGTCACCTTCTTTTACTTTCTTCATAAAAAGTGGTTCTGTCTCCCTTACCTGAAAGATTTCTTCCGATTGTACCTTTGGGTTCCCTCATTACTACCACACTACCTTACACCAATCTCTTCGTTATTGTTCTCTCTTTTTTTGTTGCGCTCCTTAGCTTTTTTTTCTTTCTTTGTATTCCTCTTCAATTTTCATTGTTTTGTGTGACGCATATATATTGGCGCTCTCTTGTACCAATACTCATGTGTTCAAATAAAATAAAACAATACAAATTCAAATTTAATGGTTTGGAAACATTAGAGCATTGGATATGTGATAATCGTTGTTCTCACAAATTCGTATTTTCCAATTAGTGATAGCTCTATCAAAGTAATCAACTAATTACAGGAAACACTCATCAGTCAGACACTTTTTTTCTGTCAACAATTTCAAGTAACTATATTAATACAGTTGTTTGGACATGCTACATTTCTCGAATCTTTAAACAAAATCATCAAAATATTTAAATCATCTTTGGAAATTTTAAACCGTTACCATGACGTTTAATTCACGCGTTTTATTCTTCATTTATAATAGTTGGTCCTCATAGATCACAGAATATCCCATAAATTCTAAATCATTTCTTACTGTCATCGATCAAAGCTGCATTTAAACAAAATCTACTTTGTCTTAAATATTATGAATTTCAATGAAAATAGTGCATACTTGTTGTTGCATTCCGTGTTTAAAGAAATAGTGTATTTATAAACAGTGTGATTAGAGTAAATATTATCTTATTTCTGTTCAACGCAATTGTGTCTTAAAAGATATCTGTTCTGGTCATTTGCTAACCGACTGCTCGTCGTATGATCTTCATTCTGACGTAAAGTAATTTGATATAAGCTTGTCCACCAGTGATGTAGGACTGTTCATAGTCTTGTTCGAGTAACATGACAGTAATAAATTCTCCCACCTATTATGCTTCCGATGTGTACAGTTATACAGACAATTACAACTACAAATCTGAACAGAATCTGGGTAATAGCAGTTTTTTGGTTTAGACTGATAAAAATTTGTCACCACTTGTACATCAAATGACGAATTCCATTAGACTTTGATATATATCATTCAAATGTCACCCATCATTAGTTATTATAGTCTCACGGACCTCAACTAGACATCTCTACCCTCCTACGCGGTTCAGTTCAGTGATCAGAAACTCCATGGATTGATGCCACCTTCTGGCTTGTCCGCCTCCGGCTTCTAACGTACGCCTATGCCAACTTGACATCGTCGAGGTAAGCGTTGGTTAGACACACATAGCACATCTCAATCACCTCATTTATTAAAGATTCACAACTTTACTTAGTACCCTGTCTAACTTTGGTGTTTCCTATTTGATAGTCCAAACATGCACAACCAATGTTTCAAAGGCATCTGTGATCATTTATTGATAACCTGCGAATAGCCTCTGGTTTTCAAAGGGTACGTTTCACAGCCCTAACTAGATAGCTTTTATTTTCCAACACCATTCACCCAAACAGTCAATAATTTGGTCGACTAATGCCATGTTTCGGCACTGTCGTCCTCATTTCGCTCTCAAATCCCTCATGAACCAGGACCTCAAGTAGAGGTAGGGAGAGGTTGAGCATACATAATACACCCATCTCAGCTGATTTATTATTCCTCTTTAGTACTTTACTCTTATCCTCAACATTGCTCAGTCGGTCGTTACAGCGCGATTTAGAAGCAAAGTTTCGAGAGGCGCTGCGAGAGAAACTGCCTTTTCTTGTCTTCTACTTTTATAGGTTGTGTTTCACCACCATTGAGTAACTTCTACGAACTAATTCTTTCTTCCTTTACTATATCCTTATATCCGATCTTTTTTTTTATTCATTACTATCATTGAAGTGTCTGCTTCTATGAATTTAGTGTCCATCTTATTGTGCTAATGAGGTGCGGCAACTTGGGCCGATGCATATATGTGCCTGATCCTGCGTTGTAGCTGACTGATCTACTATTGACTAAATCAAAACAGACTTGTGCCGTTTATTCTCATTTCGGTTGGGAGAAGGACAGGTCCCTTAACCTACAAGCGAGGAAAGCCAAACAAGATTTCCGAATTCATGTCCAGCACTCACCAAGTGAAACATCACAGTCATTTATATGCATAACCCAATTATTGCTAACTAATTGAAACTTTTACTTGGTTTTTTTAGTGCCGAACAAGAACATCATCCACTAACTCGGAAGATGAATTGGACGATTCTATGCTTTCTTGTTTATTGGTGATTGCTCCAAACACATCTCATGATCCTTTACCATCTAGTTGCAGTAACTTGGATGATGATTCAAGGAATGAAAGTTCTAAACCTTCGAAATTTCCTTCTGTTACCAACAGGTATATATGTTTTTCCCTTACTTGATTTCTTTAGCTTTTCTAAATGTGTTTTCTCTTGTCTAGTATTTTCTATACTCATTACTGTTAATACGTCTGTGATTACGATCCCAATTACACACATCTTATTTACCTCATCGAAGCTATCCTTTCAGAAAATTATTAGGTTTATTGATTGTGGAAAGCGCTCAAATGAACTATCACCTAAATGCTTAGATATTTAGCCACTAGCCACACATTGTGTAATAAGGATTTAAACTAAGAATGCACCAACTATTAAGTTACTCTTGCAGATACATATACAAGTCTTCCTCTTAGTTCAAATAACATCTTGACAGGTAGCGTTAATCTATCGAAATAAACTTATTGTTTATATTGTAAACTGACACCTTGTGTCTAAGTCTAAAACTTTTGTTTATCTGTTTTGCGTTCCATAGTTCTACCGACGAATCTGTTGAAACTACTATTGATGACCTTTGCAAAGCTATTGAAGAATCCAATGTCCATACTGAATCGAATTTCACAGTATGTTAAATTTTGTCGCTAATTTTTCCCCTTGGGATAATAAATTAATTTTAGTACTTATGTTATCATTCGTCTATAATGTATTTTCCATTCTTTCATAATCCTGACCATTAACTAGTATTTTTACTCTTGCATAATGTTCATTAATAACAAGTTGATAACCTTCTTTTCCAATCAAATAGGAATCCAATCTAGCCAGCGTTATCAAAGAAAAGACTTCCACGTGTACAGAAATATTTTCTACTTCATCCACTTCCTATACTACAACCACAACTATCTGTTGTAACAGTCCTCTTGTACAGCTTGATGTACCTGTCTCTGAAGTTTCGGTGCACTCCTCCGTCCCAGTATCATCAAATCCACTTTATTCAGGTAATTCAATATTATACCACAATATTCAACTTCGAAATCGGTTTGTCCCTTCATTTCATTTATATTCCGTAATTATTTACTTTAACATTTAACGTTCTGTGTTTGTGGAATATAGTTGTTACAGAGATCAAACATCATTTTAGGGCAGACATCCTATGCCTTCATATGGTTTCTATTCATATGGTGATGAATATTTAGTAGTGCAGAGAATCAGTGTTTATTTTCAGTTCCCAAAAGTTGCATCAGAATCTGTTGTCACTGCTCATCCACTTTGATGAGTTGTATAGCCGTCTTAATTTTTCGCGCAATCTATTCCCTTGTGTATTTGTAGACGCATTTTAAAGCATCATGTTTTTGGTTTCATAGAATTTAATGATTGATAAAAACAGTATTTTTTCTATCTGTTCTATGAATTCACTATAGAATCCTGTTTGCCATACGTGCATCCCTCAATTCCTGGTCCGGTTACGTATACTGTAATACCGACAGCTACCGCTTTGCACCCACAGACTGGACTTATATTGCCGACTCTTAGTCGAAATCCGTTTTTAGTACCCTCAACTCCAATGTATTACATTCCTCAAATTAACGCTTTGCCTTTGGTTTCTCCAGTAGACAATCTATTTCCTCAGATTCCTATATGTCAACCATTACCGTCTTTCCTAAATTATGATCAGAGTTATCTATCATTTCCTGACATAAAATACGACCTTAAAGGTCGTTCTGTTGGATTTTTCCCCGTTTCCAGTGACTATGACTTAAAAGCAAACGAGTCAACCGATTATACAGTAAGTTTTTATTTAACATCATGTTTGCTATTTGTAAAACTTTTCAAATTACCATGCTTCTAACCTAAAATGAATCATCACTATATTGACAAAAATTACTTCCTGTTGTTTTATTGATTGAAGTTTTTGAGTTTAACGGTTTGCTACTGCATCATTGTGTTATTTTCATTGGATATAATTTTAGCAACCCGACAATCCTCCGACTGCGGAAACAGAAAACTTGTCATCTAGTAAGAAGAAACATGTTGGATTTCTTTTTCGCCCGGTTTCTGCTGCTCGTACCCATTTAGATGTTTCCTTGAGGTAAAATCATGATTTACTCTTTTGTCATAAATGGTCCTTGATATAAAAACTTTTCAATGTATGTAAAGTTACCATTTGTTTTTTTCCCATTAGAATTTTTGATTGTTTATCAAAGTGACATGGAATATAATGCACCTTGACATCTTGAAAATTGAACTACGGAATGAACTAAAGACTCATAAATATTTACAATGAAATTATCATTATTGTAGACCAATTCAAATATAGTTGCATGTATCAGGATTGTCCCTTTTTTGGAAAAGGAAACGGTAATTCCTTTAAAAGCAGTAACTCACAGATCACATACAGGTTAATAACACTATCAAACTGCCTGCGCCACAGTAAATATTATGGAATCATATCTAGAACCTAACACTACCCAAATGTTCCAGCCACTGCTTCATGGTGTTGCTGTAACTTCGTAAATCTTTCTAAATTTACTATTTCTCGATTTTCAGTTATTGACTTTCTTTCCTCATATTTTACTTGATTTCCTTAAAGTGGAGGATTCCCAGTTGCTCATCACCCACATCATCTTCAGCAAAGGGGTTTCACATTTCATGCCTACAATCAGTTTCGTTCCAAATGTCTGAAAGACCGAGAAGCTAAAGGGAAAGGTCGATCACAGGTAAATTGGTTATTATCGTGTTATTGTTTTTATCAATTACTCGTATGGCTGATTTTTATGTGTATATTTCATGGAGGTTATCGGTGTTCGTGTTGTATGAGTCTGAAGTTAAGATGATAAGTCAAGTACTCTAATCACATGCAATTATAAGATGTCAGTCATTCATAACATTAAGCCTGACACAAACATATGTTAACTCTTCCATATCAAACCAGCACAACGAGGTAAAATTAACAAGATGCATATCAAAGGAGTCGAAACAATTGTGAATTAGCAATACAAGTGAGTACGATTAAACATTTATAAATTGGATTCTACGAAATGGAAAGCAAAGATATGTTTTGAAGAGTACTCAAGATCAAAAAGCAGATAAAGCGTTAATCTATCTCTGTAAATACCTCTGATTCATGTCTTCCAACATCATTAACCACTTATCGGGTCTTCTGACCACTAAGCAACAATGCAAGCACGTTCAGCATGCGATTCTCCCCCTCGAAATGCAAAATGTTGCTTCACGATTGGGTCACATTGACACCTGAACTAATGATAGGGAGTGAAGTTGATGAGCGTGTCGACCGCTTCACTTATCTTGGAAGTCTCATCAGCCCTTGTGGTCTGTTGTGTGACGAAATCTCAGCACACATACAGAATGCTCGACTAGCTTTTACCAACTTGCGTCATTTATGGCGTAGGCGAGATTATCCGTCTACCAACAAAAGGACGTGTTTACTGTGCAGCAGTTCGTTCCTCCTACTTTATGGCAGTGAAACATGGTCGGTAAGAGTAGAGGATATTCGTAGGTTACTAGTATTCGATCATAGGTGTCTTCGAAATATTGCTCGTATATCATGGGACCATCGAGTAAGTAACGCAGTTGTTAGGAAATGGGTATTAGGTAAGGATGGCAAATCAATTGATGACGTAGTAAAACTTCATCAGTTGAGATGGCTGGGACTCGTGTTACGTATGCCCAACGACCGACTACCTCGACGTGCTATGTTCAGTGGTATAGGTTGTTTATGTATGACAAAATTGAAGTTAGACATTAACATCATTGGATGCGTACGCTCTATGGTCTAGAGGTTAAGTGTTCGCTCATGAGACCTATGGCCATAGGTTCGAATCCAACATGCGGTATTGTAGATGCGCATCTCTGAGGAGTTTTATACTAAAACAGACCAGCCATCTAATGATTGTTTAGCTTAGATGAGTTCATATTATTCAACTGTCTAGTCTTCATTTTGTTAGGTCTGCCTCGACGTGCGATATTTTTTGGTGTAGGAGTAGACTGGAAGAAAGCTAGGGGCGGCCAGACCAAAACATGGCACAAGTCCATGAAGTCACTGACAAGTGGTCTGAGTCATGTTGGTAGGTGTAGACTACCTGGTTGGGGACCACGAGATGATAGCAACCGATGGTTAGAGACCCTGAATGACGTGGCTCAAAATCGTTTGCAATGGCGCAGGTGCATACACTCTTTGTGTTCTCCCAAATTCTAATCTTCTGAATTCTTCATGTCCCTTTTTTCCTCTTTCCAAATTTATTTCACTGGATTATACTTTTTAAATAACATCTCCAAACCCTAATCTATCCGATTACTGCTTATACTCTTACCGCCTCTGTCACTACGGGATTTGAATCGACAACTGCATCTCTGTGCTAATGTAGTGTGGCAACTTGAACTGATGTGCGTACGTACGAAGTTCTACGTTGTTACTGACTGACTGGTTCATCGAGGTTATCATATGTACGTTGACCAAGTTGGCTGCATTAACCTAAACCACATAATACTACCCGTTGAGGTAGGTATTGTTTAAACATACACAACACATCTCAATCACTTGAGTTTTTGAAGATTCACAATTTAATCAACCGACTTGCCACATTTACATCATATTCTACTTCAGACCCCGTTCGGTCATTAGACGATGCGCGATCAATGCTTTGGAGACACTTGTAATCAAGAATTTTAGTCTTCAGTTGTCTTCTGCTTCAATGTACCATGCTTCTCCATTATACATAATTGCAAAACAGTCTATTGCACATTATGCTTTCTTAATTTATCCGATAAATTTCTCACTGCTACAATTTAGCTGTTATTATTGACGTAAATTCACAATAGACTGTTGTCAATGTTTTTATTGTATTACAATTACATAATTTTATGCGAAATATTAAAGTTAAAAGTAATGTAATTTCCATCCTTCAAACACATTTGAAGGATTCAGTTGTCGTAATCAACATACGAATAAAACTGAAACCTGATTTTCTGGCTTAATTCTTGTCTATCTTATATATAATCACTTTGTTTCTTGAGATCTATAGTTGCTGAAGAATAAACATTATAATTTGTATGGGTTTATTTAGGAAATGAACACTCTTTATAGCTTTTGGTCATTTTTTCTACGTGAACACTTCAATCGAACTATGTATAAAGACTTTCGTAAACATGCATTAGACGATGCCAAAGAGAATGCGAGATATGGACTGGAGTGTTTGTTTCGACTTTACAGTTATGGATTAGAACGTCATTTTCGTAAAGCTATTTTCAAGGATTTTCAAGTGAGTGCTTTCGAATTACTCTCTGTTATTCTATTTTCTTGTTAGAATAATTCCTTCTTTAGGTATGTATTCTGTCTAAATAGTGATATATAGAACTTTTTAATCGAATGAATGTAATGTGTTAAGTTTGTGTTTCATGTATTTGTCTATCAATCACTGTCTAAAAGCGAGTGATAATACTCGCGTGTGATGAACATAGTAGTAAGTTTTCATTAATTCAAACATTTAATTGAGAAACTGTAACCGCTAATCCTTCTCATAATAAGTAACGTATACTTTTAGAAAAAGTACTGTTTGTTTTCAAGTTGATTTATTTCAGCTTTAAATACCTACTTTTTCAGTTGTATTGCTGAAATAGCCCGATTTTTTTCTCCTAGGTATTTGAGAAATCTATCTGTTAGGACTTACCACACATTTCACTGTATCCCTGAATTTTATTAAATAGTACTGGCATAGTTTCAAAGGATGTGTCTGGTCACAGTCACCGCAACAAACTGTCCTTCCATTCTGTCTCATGTCCAGCATTGAAACTTCTCTTGTTTCAGTATAATAAAACAATCTAGATTATTTGTCCCGTCTAACTTTCGTAAAGTGCCGTTAGTTCTTGTGAGAACACAGTTAAAGTATTCTGTATATTACTTTGTCCAGATTCCAAAATTTATGTGTTCGAAAACAGTATCGATATAAATGGCTCCACTGTGTACTACATCCTATATAGGTCATACTATCCCGTTATCATTATTTATTATTTATTAAAGTCATTTATACACTACAGAAAATCTCTAATCATAATCATGACCAATGAATCTGATAAACCTTGCTACTAATAAGCCTAAACTCTCTTCCTAGCCAGTTTATATAACCTCAACTACTTTTACATGTCAGCTGAAATAACAGAGAAAAGGCACGAAATGGCAGTTAGTTTATGTGCAAAAAAACAAGGGTATTTATGGAATTATACATCACCTTGCACCTTGAAATATTTCCGGAACCATACTAATTATAATAGTATCTAATAGAAGCCGTAACACGTTTCTCCATTTTGTAGATGTTTCTGCGAAGCCTCTATCCAACGCTGAGTAGATAAAATGTTTACTGACTTTTCTGAGCCTCTAGAGACTTAGATAAGGAGTATGTCGAGACTCTCTCAACAGATTCGGAGTCTGCCCCGGATATCAAGTAATACAGAATTTGTTACCATATAATAATTTTGTCGATGTTTGGCGAAGAGTGAAGATTTAATCACTACATGTACGACTGCTATGACTGTGACGGCAGATTAGAGGACAGCGAATTATCAATCGGATCAAAGATGCGTAAAACATGTAAGAACGGCTTAGAGTTCTGATTGGTCTCGCTTCTCTGTCTAGCCCAGCCAGTTGAGTCCAGAACGCAAGTCTCAACCTCGGAGATATGAATCCTTATATTTCAAATATACTCTGTTTATTAAGCAGACCACATAGTACCATAAAAATAGAAAAGAACATCTGTACAATATTGACCGGTAGGAAAATGCCACGTGAAATAAATATTGACCAATAAGAAGATGATACCATCTCAAGTGCAAGGATAGTGTTAGACTTAACAGAATAATTTCTTTTGGGATATTTTCCTGAATATCCCAACAACGACTTAAATGATAACGAACTTGCAGATTACAATTTCGTCTTTCACAAGTTTTGCTTAATGTGCATAATACGATACCCAGTAGTTTAAAAGCATCAAACTTATATCCCAATAATTATTTTATGAATTTTGTAGACTTTGTTCATGAGAATATGACACTTTTACTCATTGTAGCCTACAAAGTGTCCGATTTTTTTTCTTTCTCTTCATCAGTCCTGTTCTTTATGTATACACCTTAAACATAAATTATAGTTTTTATTATTAAACGTAGCTAACTTGTAGTTTGTATTTTCTTCATTTAATCTTAATAAAAGGAGGAAACTCTAAAAGACTATGATAATGGTCATTTGTATGGATTAGAAAAATTCTGGGCTTTTCTACATTATAGTCAACGCAAAGTAAAATTGGATACACGTTTACAAAACTTGTTGGATTCAAAATATCGTACTTTAGGAGATTTCAGAGTGAATGTAAGTAAAGAAAAAACTACTAAGTAGATTAATATATCATAATAAATTAATTTAGTCACTAAATTCTATTATTTCATTTTATTACAGTTTGAACCACCAACTGGCTTTTTTATAAACAAATCACGTCGTCGAACCAAATCGGAGTCAATATTAACATGTCAAACTAAACCGATATTAGGTAGTAGAACACCTCCTGTTGAATTCCATTCAAGTAGAATATCTTGATACTTCACAGAAGAAAAGAAATATATATATATATATATATATATATATATATATATATATATATATATATATATATAATACCCCCTCTCTATATATATATTAGTTTTCTTAATTCCATCAGAAAACTATTTGTTCTCCAACAACAACAACAAAAGACAATCTATTTCTATTTGCTTTCAATTCATCCATTGGTTTTCTAACATTAATTGTTCATAGAAAATTGAATAGAAGGAACATTCAAGAAGTCATATCTGTGTCACTCCGGTGTTATCATTTATTTTAATAAAATTATTATTATTATTATGGTCATCATTATCATTGACTATTTATCATGATTAGTATTACTCCTACTACTAGACTGTTATTATTATTTTATTATTATTGTTGTTTTGTATATAATTAACATGAATAATTCTTATTCTTAACATTATTATCCGCTAAAGAAAAAAGGTACGTTCTTTTTCTTCTTCTCTTCGGGTCAATTTTGTAATGAATTATTGAATTATCATTGACAATTTGTAGCTTCTTTACTTCAATGTCAAATTGATATATAAATACTCAAATAATTTTGAGGATAATAAAGGAGAAGTAGAAGGAGAGGAGGCGGAGGAGGAGGTAGAGTCTATACACTAAACTAACTAATGAACTACCCAGTCTAATTTGTTTTTCATTTTATTCTTTAATTCACTATAAACTAGTCGATATCTGTCTCTTCTTACATTCTGTTTAATCTATTTTCCCAACCCTCAACTCCCAATTTTTTTTTAGTTTGCTACTAATTTAGTTTTATGAATATATACATATAAATATGGGCTTGGATTTATGGTCTTTTTCTTTGTCTATTGTTTTGTTGAATTAATTTTCATCCTATCAATATCATGATACTTTTGATTTGACAACTTATGAACAAATCATTGTTCATAGTATTGGTTGTTTAGATGGTGGATTTGTTTACAGTCTGTTTGAATCATGGTGTTCCTTTTTTGTTGCTGCTGCTGTTGTTGTTGTTGTTGGAAGATACTGTTTCTTTACTCTTTCATTTGGCTTCTCTTTAATATAACCGAATAATTCTTCTTTCACATAACTTTCTATTATTAAAGGTAATTTGATTTGATATACTCTATGTCACAACTTGATAGTGTGTGTTTGTGTTTTGTTTATCCATTATCATGAATAGAGTGTATATTTCATGCACTTTTGTTTCAATTCTTCTTCTTCTTCTCAATCACTATGATTAAATTTTGATGTGTGCCATCCCATATCTTATTCTATTGTTTTAGATGCTTATAAAGCATACAACTAAATACTGCAATCTGTTGTATTTACTGTCAATCCTTAAATTATTTTACTCTTATGTTTCCATAAACATTCTTATACTTTTTCCTTCATTGATTAACCATGGACATATGACCATAGTTTTGGTGTAGATATGCGTTCATCTAAGTTTCCATATTTGATCAGCACTAAAAGTTTGAAATAAGAAAAACGAAATCAAAATAATACAGTCACCATGAACAAAAGTGAACCTTTGAAATACTATTTGAAAAGATATTAGTGTCAATGTATGTATGCCCAAACGGAGGTTGGCTATTCGAAATCAAGATAATTTAGTCAAAAAGTATTAATCGTCAATCATAAAACTGTTTGATTGGCTAAAAATTGTCAGTAATCATCGCGATGTTTTTACCTATTCAACAAATAACAATCTCTGGCATTCTCATTTAATTTGAAGACAGTTATTTTCTTAAATTCACGAAAGTGACAACATTTTATTCAGATTTTTCTAGTTGATTACTTTATTATATGAAATGAATTATTTGCCAGTAAATAATAAACTGATTACGATAACTTGAATAGATGCATAATCAACTTCCACCCCTACTGTTATACCTTGAGATGACGCTAATAGGCAAATAATTTATCTGAATCTACTTCTCGAAAAATAGGTTCTCCTTATAGGATTCAGCTGTACAATTACTGATAGGCGGATATCTTGCTTCGCCATAGGCGAATTAAACTGGCAAAATCCAAACGAGCTTTTTGAATTCGTTCTGTGATTTCGTCAGACAACAACCCATTGGGGTTGATCAGACTTCCAAGATAACTGAGGTTGTCGACGCATTCCATTACTTCACTCCCTATCCTTAGTTCAGCTATTGACGCAGGCCAGTCCTGAAGCACCAGTTTGCATTTATTTCGAGAGAAACGCATCCCAAAAATCCTGGCATTGTTGCAACGTCATCACCAGACAGGGCTGTCATCTACGTATTCTAAGTCGATAAGTGGACCGCCTGGTAGTAGATCAATGACCGAAAATCCAGTCGACGAAGCCGTTATTCCCATCAGTGTGTCTATGATGAAGTTGAACAATCATGGAGACAGTGGTCAGCCTTGTGGGATGCCACTTGAGGTTGCAAAATCAGATAACGGTTCGCCATATGCTCTGACTCGACTTGTGTTCGAGTAAAGAGTCTTCACAAGTTTTCTGTACTTCTGTGGTGTGGTACGCCTCTCAATGACAGACACTGCAACATAACCTCTCGATCTACAGAGTGAAATGCTGCTTTTAAGTCGAGAAAGACCACGATCGTTGGACGCCGATAAGTGTGTATGTGTTGTAGAACCCGACGAATGGTGAATATGTGGTCGATAGAGTTACGACCAACTCTGAAACCAGCCTGATTTTCTCGTATTTGCATTTGACAAGTATTTTTTAGGCGTGTGATAATTATTGAAGCTATTATTTTAGATGCTATATTAGTTAAACCAATCCCTCTATTTTTATCACAGCATGATTTTGAACCTTTCTTATATATTGGGACAATAAGTGATTGCGACCGGTCAAGTGGAACAGTTGTTTCGTCCTGGTGTGCACGTCTGTGGATGCGCATGTGGGATTCAAACCCATGACCTTTATCCTCGCACGTTTTTATCATATATTTGTATGACAGTTTTAAGATAAATCAAATTAATGAAATACAGTTGGGTCATTTCAAGTTATCATGCTACTATAGCTAATTAACTTCTTTTCATATGCAATGAACTATAATATCCCATCATTATACAGCAAATGATCTCATTTTAAAAATATTCGAACCCAGAACCTACTGATCTCGCACGCGAGACCTGGGTTCGAGTCGTGAGAGGCGGGATCATGGATGCATACTGCTGCAGAGTCCCACCATTGGACGAAACGGCCGTCCAGTACTTCTAGGTTTTCCATGGTGGTCTAGCTTCAACTGACTCATGATCTCAGCTATTGAGACAACTGCTGTTTCGAAGTTTTGTTTGTTATTCACTTATTCCCTAAGATCAATACAATCACTTGTTGTCATATCAATGAACAAGTATTGAAGCCATAATTAAAAGTATTATCTATGAAAGATAACAAGGGAACATATCGATCTAATGGAATAGTTATTACTATCATTGTAATTCCTATTTATCTATACGTAGTAATCAATCACTCTCTCAGTAATGTTAATTTCTGACAGTTTTATAACCTTACCATTATGGTTAAAACATTTGAAACTAATGTGTAACATATTTATTAACTAAGTTTATTTGTTAAATAAAAGAACAAAAAAAGTGATCACAATCCAAATGTATGTGTACATTATGGACATGGTATGTTCTATGCTATTTTTAGTTATTGACCTGTAACTACAATGATAAATAACAGTAATTACATTTTACATTCTTATTGTATTTGAAAGATTACGGTTGTATGTTTACGATAATCTATAAGTCAGATATATACATATATATATAGTGTAACAATTGGGAAACTAGTAGTGATTCTTATTGAAATTGTTGATTATTCATTTGATGAACCGAATTCGGCCAGACGAATCAATCAGGTATAAGATAACAGGTCTCAGATTTTGCAGATGTAAAGGCAAGGATTGACTGAGCAAGGACCACATTCCCACAATTGAAGAACATATACAACTCAAAACAACTATCTGTCAACCCATTTCAAAATCAGAATCTTCAGTACGAACGTCAAGGCAGTTCTACTATATGGAGCTGAAACTTGGAGAACTACTACAACCATCATCAAGAAGGTACAAGTATTTATAAATAGCTGTCTACACAAGATACTCAACATCCATTGGTCGGATACCATCATCAACAACCAACTGTGGGAGAGAACAAACCGGGTTTCAGCTGAAGAAGAAATTAGGAAAAGATGTTGGAAGTGGATAGGCCATAAATTGAGGAAATCACCAACTGTATCACGAGGCAAGAGCTAACTTGGAATGGTGAAGGGAAGCGGAAAAGAGGAAGGCTAAATAACACATTATGTCGTGAAATAGAATCAGATATGAAAGAGATGAATTGCAGCTGGAAAGGATTGACCAGGACAGGGTTGGATGGAGAATGCTGGTGAGCGGCCTATGCTCCTTCATGAGGAGTAACAGGCGTAAGTAAGCAATTTGGATAAATCGAGTTTTGACATTATAACTAATGTCAGTTCGTGATGTAAACTCGAAATCTAATAACTAACCTTAACTATCAATTGTAATGTTGTGTCCCGATAAGAATAATGAGTGGTAATTTTTGGGATCGCTCGTTTCTGGCTGTTTTGCAGAATGTGCTTTCCCATTCCAAGCTTGGACTTTTCCCTCTAGTTAGCGAGGCTGGGACGCGTCAATAGCTAGCTTGCTGGTCTTGGGTCACCGAGTCTTTTTTTCGTTCGCAGATTAAGTGAACTCGTGATAGCTTCAAACTTAGCATGTAAATCATGGTTCGAATTCCTTAAATAGGTTTATAACGCTCATTTGGTCCTAGTTAATAGTTGGATCTTCTGAAGGTCAGTTTAGCGTCACTCAAAAGGTCGTTCATAAATTATAATCTCATTCCGAATTTAACTAAAACACCCATTGAAAAACAAAATAGGAAGCTTTGGATAACTGTTTTGTCTAACTGTATAAAGCTTCTTATTCATGTGATCCAAAGTCTTGTAGCTAGTTAGTTAACAAGTGTGAATCACAAAATTTACATTCAACTTCCGTCTCTTTAAACCAAAATA